AGGCTTCTCCCTCTCCGACGCACAAACGGAGACGACTGTCATCACCATCGATTGATATTCAGTTTCCAGTCCCAAGTCAGGACGAGCTTCAAGGAATTGACGCTATTGAAGCCAGATTATCCCAGGGTAGCGGGTCCAATAGCAGTCGCTACCAGGGTAAGTCCCTGCTCTTTTTATCAACCTAAATGCTCAAATTCCGTTTAGGCAATGTCATGCAAAGCGATCCTGACAATCCCTTCATATCCAAGCCTGCAGATTTCAGCACTGGGTTCACTAGTGCATCATTCTTGCAAACTTCATCACGCTCGAGGACGAGCTCTGCCGAATCAGATCCATGGTCGTCCCAAGATCCTCCACCAGAAAAGGATCCAGACTGGTTCATGCCACCTAATGCAGTTCCCGATTTTCAGAGTGCCAGCTCAATGTCTGATAAGAATATTTCCATAGGGTTTCAGACTGCATCTAAAAGTGTTCTCGTCCCATCGGCTGCTGCCCTGGCCAAGGCGAAAGCTAAAATGAACGAATGGGAGGCCGAGAAAGAGAATCCAGACTCTGCAGACGACTCATCAAAGTCTTTCGCATCAGATTCATTCTCCTCAGATTCTATTCTTCCTTCATTCTCGCGTCCCGCGTTCAAGGGACTTGAAAACGCGACCCCAGCCACCCCATCACCTGCGACTCGTCAAATACCGACTTCCTTTGCTTCTCCATTGCTCGACCGTGGAACAAAGGCATTCAAACCTCCTTTCTTCAAAGCAGGCCCGAAGCCTTCATCATCTCCGTCACAACTCAGCTCTCCCGTTGTACCTTCCGCAGGTCCTCCTACTTTCACGACACCACGTTTGCAGCATCCCCTTGCTTCAGCTCCGATTACTGCTACCCCCCAGACTCCAGCTCGACCGATTCCCCCATTGTCTTCCTCGTCCGCTTTTCACACTCCCCTTCGGTCGGGCGTGAATGCAGCGGCGGCCAGAAGTACCACTCCCCGCTTCAAAACACCTTTCAAACCGGGAATGAGACCCGGGGAACCAGGTAGAAAGGCAATAGAAGAGAAAGCCCGAACGACTCCTTCCAAGGCCCCTTCCACATTGAAAACTGTTACCATCCCTTTGAAACCTCAGGAAAGGAAAATCCAGACTGTATTTGACCTGTGTACGTGCATGCAGATTCCATTTCGCGATGCTGATCTGGATATTAGCTGTCCCCCAGGATCGCAAGACTTTGTCATCGTCCGGGCTACGCCCACAACGTTTTACCGAAGAAGACCTCGAGAGTCTAGGAGTGTCAGTGTCTTTTACTTTTTGTTTTTTTCATTGTTCAATGTTCTCGACAGTGACATCAATGATCTTAGCAAAGTTACCCCAAATCTGGCCCTCTACTATTCATTTTACACTGCCCCAGCCACCGATGCTACAACTCAAGCTAACTTTATAATGCGAAACGCTGATACAGCTCTGAGGGAATTGCTCAATAGATCTTGCACTCTTGCAACCAAAACCTGGGTCGATAATCATTGGGCTTTAATTCTGTGGAAACTCGCCGGCATGGCTGCTCTGGATCCGAAAAGCGAACAGAATGAGCTCACGCGTCGATGGTCTTGGCCTGAAATGTTCAACCAACTACTGTACCGGTACGAGTCCGGCGCTCCTTCATATTTCTACGTTTTCTGATTTGAAACTAGGTATCAGCGTGAACTGAGCAATGGTGTACGCCCTCCTTTGCGCCAAATAGTGGCGCAGGATGTCCCGGCTTCATGTCCCATGGTGCTCTGCGTTTCCGACGTCATATGGCCCGAAATGAAAAAGGACAACATCGACGTCTATCCCGAGATCGAGGTTACAGACGGATGGTATCGAATCCGCGCCCAAGTTGACGAGCCGCTTGCCAGGGCTATTCGCAAAGGCAAATTACGTATCGGGAGAAAGATATCGGTCGTTGATGCAAAGGTTGGTCGCTTTTGTTTCAATTCGTCCCAATCTCACACTATTTTCAGCTATCGTCAGAGCGAAAAGAACCTGCAGAGATTTTGGAAGCTTATAACTCCGTCAAACTCTTGTTACACGGAAACGGATCGCATTTGGCGCCCTGGCATGCTAAGCTTGGATTTCTGAAGCCTTGTCCCATTGCAACACTTCACAGTGTGACGCCCGATGGTGGAATCATTCCTGCCATAGCCATTACAATCCTCCAGGTGCGCCGTTTCTTGAGCAATAGACCATTGTCGAATGTTCCCTAGGTATTCCCAATCTTTCATGTCGAATTTATCGAGCAAGACGGAAAAAGGGTATCCCTGCCGATGAGAGAACAAGCGGAAGAAGACAAAGCATGCGACCAGTGGACTGTGAGTGGCTATTTCGTTTGATATCTACAAGCTTACTGAAACTAAACAGCGACAGCGTGAGGCCGCTGCAGCCAAAATTCAAGCAGAGTATGAGAAGACCCAGGATAGATACTTTTCCTATGCCGAACGCCTAGAGAGAAAAGCTGGTAATTTCCAACCTGGTGACGACGGACCTCCGGACCATATCGACAGCTTCTACGACGAGCTCGAGGACCCGGTGGATGCCAATCGTGTATTGGGCCAGATCACGAGTAAAGATGCAGGGTGGCTTGCTCTACACATCCGAAAACAGGCAGAACTGGGACATGACAAAATCCGAGAAGACACTGAGCGCGAACTAGATGTCAGTTAATCTGGTCTTCCTCTTGATCTCTTCGCTCATGTCGTCTCAGACACTCTTCCCACCTAGACTAGTGTATAGCGCCAGGATGATGCTAGTCGAAGATGCTTACACTGAACGATTCCCCGCCCATCGTCAAGCACAATTGACGGTCTGGGATGTAACAAAGCTGCAGCTGACTGATGGCAAGCCTCCTGGTTACTTTGAAGAGGGGCAAAAGTTCCATGTAAGTGGAGATTACTGTGAACATGGGTCGCGTCTCATATTTCCAGGTTACCATGGTACACCCATCTCATCTCACGTCCTGGATGGGCCACGAAAAAGGCGATCAAGCATTCATTTGTACGAAAAGCATGTCAGTGTGGCGCAAGATCAAGTAGAGGGGCCTATGCTTATTATACTAACGAACTGTACTGATAATCGAACACAATATCCAGAGCCTAAAACTGTAATCTACTCGGCACCGTATGATAATCCATACTTTTTCAGATTTTCTCTGCAATCCCGAACATCTTCATGGCCCGAACAAACGATTGTCGGTGTATTGCCTGATGATGGCCCAAAGACACGCGCCGCTACTCGTTGAACATCGTTTGGCGTCACCGAGTCAATTTTGGCGGCCATTTCTTGACTTGAGACAAGGCGATCATACACGAGCATCTAGCAAATTGCTCAGTTGAAAACGAGAAAGAAATTGTTCAAAACTCACCTGTCGACCAAGATCCTCTACCTGGACTGAACGGCTCTCGAGCGCCATCATCAAACTTGACTTGAGTTGATTCTTCGCCCGGTCAAGCTCTTGAGCGGGTATCGGTGTATATAACAGCAAGCTAAGCTGATGCAAAAGATGCGGTAATATTTGGGTCGCAGTGTTTCCATTTCTGGGAAACCCAGTCGATGGAACAAAGGAGGCAAAAAGCCCGAACAATGAAGAATCGGCGTAGATGTGATGGAAAGATGCACAGTGGTCGACATGAGGGAAGTAGTTGAGAATATGAGTGTACAGTCGGGAATACATGCCTTTACCGGGCCCACCTGTAGAGCATTAAATCGAAACGAGGGGCCAAAGAAAAGTAAACTCACCCGCAGAAAAACTTCCGCCGCCACCAAGGAGCACCTGCATCGTCGCTAATGCATAAATGTCTTCGTCTAGAACCCCGACCCCTTCATAGCCGACATAAAGGTGGTTGAATTCCGACTCTTTATCGGAAATGAACTTGTGACCACCGGTATAGGTTGAAGAGCGACTGAGCACCGATGAAGTTGGTGAAAGGGATTGGGGGAATAGATATGAAGCAGCACGCGTAAGCGTTTTCGATATAGAGGGTGTTGTTGCAGATAACAAGGGGTTTGGGGTGCTGCTATGGGAATGACTTGGCCGTGGAGATGTCTGAGTCGGTTTCACAGAAGAGAATAACTTGTCCGACAGTTCGACTAGCTCTTCGTGCCGCATCCCTGTTCCAGCAATGACCATTCTCTCTGGACGATACCATTGCGCTATGGCATGCTTCAGTAATGGTCCATTAATCACATCAATGCGCTCCATGGGACACATTGTTGGATTTCCAAGACCCTGATGATTGTAAGCAACACCATGGAAGATTTCTGGAAGATTGGTCTCGGGCTTTGAAGATGCCTCTCGCAGTTCATAGAAAGCAGCATCTCTATGGGCGTCAACTTCTTCCTCCTTGAATGACGCGTTGAGGGCTGTATCCGCTATGAGGGACATGGCCAGCGGTGTGTCCTCGTTAGAATGAGATGACTGATATAGTATAGTCTCTCTTGAGGATGAGCACATCATTTGAGCGCCACTGTTTTCGATGGACTCGATCATTTTCTCCTCCGTTCGGGAATTTGTACTCTGCAAACCCGATGAGCACTGTCGAGACAAGGTCTCTGAAGCTTACCTTAAAGGCCAATCTCTCTAGAAAATGACTAACTCCAGATGTTTCTGGAGTCTCATATCGTACACCTGCGTCGATGTACAGACCGACGGAAGAAAAATGTCCTGGAGTCGAGTCGGTGGCGACACGGATCCGGTTGGGCAAGGTCGTTACTTGAACCGGCGAAATTATGGAAGAGTTGTGTAGGCGACGTTTGCTCGTTCGCAGAGCATTACGGGCGACAGAATAACTGGCCTTGCGCATCAAGAAGGAAGAAGGTTGGAAACACGTGATGAGTTATTCATCAGATGTTTGAAACATATGACTGGCAGATACTGATATAAATGGATTTCAATGCCTTGAAAAACAATGGAAAGAGCCCCCAAAAGCTAGAGAGAGGGAGAAAAGGTTAGGCATAGACATGTCCTATAAAAGAAGACACCACCGAGAGTTGAACCCGGGACCTCGCGATACAATATCCAATGTTGCAATCGCACGCTATAACCACTTAGCTATGGCGTCATGCCCTCCAATTAAGCGGAGGGTATATAAAGCGTCAGCATTCGAGTGGCGCTCTCATCTAAAAGCAGTTCAAAGTCTCCGTCACGGCGTCAGTACCTTCAGCACTGTTTCATTTTTTTGTTCTGAATTTTTATCTCTGACCAGGCCTTCCCATGCGACGCGTAACCTGGCGACATTTGTTTCAGCCACTCGGTAGGTATCTCCCAAAAATAAACTCGTCCGTAGATATTTTGGCGGAGAGGAGGCACGGGTAGGATGATGGTTGCGCGTCGATGATGGGAGAGGCGTAGATGTTGTCGATGCATAGTTGTTTTAGGGTTACTACATACAACTATTTTGACATAACCTGGATTATCTTCTGATTTGACAGCTGATTGCATAAGAAACGATAGGCCGGGATGGAGTCGGAAATTTTGAAATTTTATTTGTTGTTTTTATACGCCGTTGTTCTGCCGGTGATAAGCGGGTCTGGATTGCTTATCATCGACTGTGAAATCGAGGTGTCGGAGTGGTGTCGGTCATATTGTAAGCAAATTATGACAAATACGACTTAGAAAGTACCGGACTCTGGGCCAGTTTTGACCCGCTCATATTCAAAATTTCTCCCTTTTGTATGCGGACCCATGGTTTTCCGGGGTCCTAGCACGCGTAGATGGTGGAGGAGACGCGTAGATGAAGGTTGGGATGCGGAGGTGACAAATGCGTAGATGTTGAATATTAACGTTGAATAGTAGAGGTGTAAAAGGCCGAGCCGTCTACGTGCTTGTTTATTCTCCCGGGATCTCCGGCTTGGTCATGTCCTCCTCCTGGAGCTAGGGGCAATATGGGGCTTTCAAGTCGACGATTTCAAGACTCGGGACTCATATTCTTGAAACAGGCGGATCTTCCACTCAAAACCTGCGAGATGGACGGTTGCTAGTTTTGGGTGACGTCGACAGTGACAGTTTTTCCCAAACGGTCACACGTAAAACATACTTTGTCACCTTCTCCGACCGCTTATAATATGAATCTCGGTTTTGTGAGCATCTCCCTTTATCCAACATGTCCACTCTGGGTTTGGTGGGATACCATGGCCCAGTCACTGCAAGCCTCGATTGGTGCGAAGGTCTGCCTCGTTGTCAAGCTTGAATTCTACGCCTAGCTCACCAGTGACTGCTCAGCCAACTACCAATTCAACTACTACATAGCCGAGATGGCTAATACTTTCTCGAATCTGTTTACAATCTTTCTGGCACTTTTTGGAGTATACAGCGCGTGGAGAGAGAATTTGCCTGGTCGATACATGGTCGGATTCATAGTGAGCAATGCTGCCACTATCCAGTGGCCTAGCTCATGAAACTTGTCAGGGTGTTGCTATCGTTGGCATCGGTAGCTTTGCCTTTCACGCAACTCTCTTATTCGAGGCTCAGCTTGCCGACGAGCTTCCCATGATTTACGTAGGGACCATGAGTCTATGGCTGCTCTTCGACCGAATGCCAGGATTCTCTCTCCAGTCTACAAGGTCTCGGTATCAACTGGTAATCCTGGCCCTCTTCAATATCTTGTTCACCTGGAGCTAGTACGCGCTTTTCCAGTATTCCTTCTCGCCCGAGTCCCAACTCATCATTCTTTGGCCAGCTATCTGTCCCGTAATCCTGTTTATCATCAGTTGGTGTTCGGCGCCTTGGTGTTTGGAACTGCATTTAGGGTAACCTAGCAAGTAACTTGTTTAAACATTGACATTCTGCTAACAGTTCAGCAGTCTCCTCAAATGGTCAGATGTACGCGCCCGTGTGCCGGACAAACAGAGATCCGAGATAGGTCGGCTCTTCGCGAAAGGGGCTGGCCTGTTCGCCCTTGGTTTCCTCGTATGGAATTTGGACAACATATTTTGTGATACTTTGACACGTTGGAAAGTCTCTATAGGATGGCCACTCGCGTTTCTCCTTGAAGGTGAATCTCATAAACTACTATCGGAGATCAACCTGACCTTTCTAGGACACTCCTGGTGGCATATCTTGACTGCAAGTTGATCGTCTGTTTCATTGCTCAAACTCTGATCGATGTTCAACAGGGAGCTGGGACCTTCCTTATGTCTGTGGCAATACAGCGTGAGTTTCAGTTCTCTTCTCTCAATTCCCAAGCTGACCTTTTTTGTCTAGATATGTGAGTTGCCTCGTCCGCTCTTGTACCATGTTGAACATGTCGCTTTAGTACTCTTTGCATCAAGGACGACCACCGAAATTTCACTCTAGTGGACACGTATGGCTTTCCCCACATCAAGCGCGTCACGAAGGACATGCAATAGCAATCTATCTATTAAGTATCTAATTATCTCTTGTGAGGGACGAATGTATAGCTTTTACTTTTCTTCATCACGTCGACTGCCCAACCTCCCACTTGACAAAGTCGGACATCTCGAGCTCTTCCAGTTTCCACTGCTGTTTCCACTCCGCCAGGACTTGACGGACGGTGAACTGAGCCTTTTCTCCGCCAATCATTGCGAATAGCTGGTTGTATAACACGGTATCGTCGTCGCCTTCGCGTATCGCAGTTGGGCCAAAGCCTACAATCTGGCGACCAAGGGCTCGCTCCATAATTCCGAGCTCCGAGATGAATGTCGCGTCGGAAAAGAGCTCGGACAGTTGTGATGATTGGAGAGAAAGGGCTGTCAATGTCGCAATTCTGCCTTGATTGGGGAATTGCTTTGACGCGTTATGCACGTAGGAACCGATATGTATTGGCTTAGTCGGTTCACCCTCATGAGTGAGAGTGGTGGCTCGCCGTAAGGTGACATTCTCCCCGGTTCGTCCAACCAGGTCCAAAATTGCAGATTTCACGGTCAGCGAAGAATCTGCTAGTGGATAGTCCAGCAGCTCTGCCATATCAACCGCCTGGAAGACAGCAGAGGACGTCCTGGAGTTTGTGGCTACAGAACGTGCAATTTCGGCCGCCAGACGTGTGAACTGGTCTGTTCTAGCCACAAAATCGGTTTCACAGTTGAGCTCTACGATTGCTCCCCGAGCGTTGGTGGCTTCATTACTGAGCGCGACGCTAATCAAGCCTTCTTTGGCAACTCGGTCTTGTATTCTGGCGGCTTTCGCAGCTCCTGACACGGCAAGATCCTTCTCCAGCCATTTCAAAGCAGCTTCAAGGTCATTGCTTGATTCTGTCAGAGCCTGACGAGCTTTGGCGATGGGAGCATCGGTCAGCTTCCGGATCTCCGCTACCAGCTGAATAGTGGTTTTTGGAGGAGAGGTGCTGTAGTGTCTGAAGGAGGAAACGAAGGAGGGACGGAGCCGAAACATGGCTTCAGGAATCAGGTGGAACTGAAAAAAGTCCAGGCACATGATGTAACGCGTGACTTGGCTCTTGAATTTTTCGCGGTCGTGTCGAGCACTGTACGGTTTGTGCCGCCCTCGGGAGGCTTGTGTATACTGATAGGAGCATCTCATTAGATCATGGAAGAGAACAGCTCCTTCAAGGTCCCCCAAATTATCCCACAGGACCTCCTCTTCATACAGGAACTTCTTGGAGTCGAGTTCAAGGCGACAAAGCCTGCGAGAGCAGAGAGTGTCACCAGCATTGACAGTACAGACAGCGAATGCAGTGAAGATGAAGTAGAAGCAGATTTAGTCCAAGATGCTCAACCTTTGTCGTATGTTCCAGCCATCTGTTTTGCACCGCGCTGAAAATGGTCGACAGACCCGATGATTCTGGAATGGACGACTCTGACTCTGACGAGGAAGAAGACGAGCAGCCGATGAAGATAAAACCGGAAGAGGAAGACGACGTTTGTGAAGATGAGGAAGGAGGCCCGTCTCTCAAGCAGCACACATACTTCATGACCAAAAACGAAGCTCTGGAAGCCGATTTCAATGTTCCAGACATTCAGCAGGTCGGACCAGAGGAACCCTTGGAGAAAGTAGGCCACATCTTGAACTTGGTGGAGACAACGGTCATCATCAAGGGTCTTCCGCCCTCGGTCCCCGTTAGAGGAGCTCTGGACTCGGATACACTGCTAGTCTTTGATGACAGAAAAGTTCTTGGTTATGTGAGTTGAATTTGACAACCTGTTGTACGGTTTGTTGACCGAGATTCAGGTATATGACATATTTGGGCCCACTGCGGAACCTCTGTACCAAGTCAAATTCAAAGACCCAAGTACTATCGATAGAACTCAAGTACGCGTAGATCGCGACGTGTTTCATATTCCAGGACGCAGTCGCTTTGTGTTTGTCAGTGACACAAAAGGGAGCGATGCAAGCAATTGTCACGACGAGGAGCCCCCGGATCACGAGCTTGACTTTTCTGACGACGAGGCCGAAGCAGAATTCAAGCGAAAAAAGTACGTTTCTTCCTCTGTTCTTGTTCATCTAGCTTACCCAGCTCAGACGAGGCGAATCTCGAGCTCGTTCAGTTACATCGTCGAGACATGCTACACCACTTCCTTTCCCGCCTAGGGCAAATGCATTTGATGAACAAGGACCCTATGATGATTATCCTGTCGAGCCATCTCGACCACTGCCAGCTCCTTACAGTGATGCAGGTCCTTCTAGACCGACACCACTTCCTTACGACGATGATCCATATTCTGCAGCGGTCAGCTCAGAAGATATTTCAGCGGCGATGAGCAGACCAGAAATTGCTGCACTGCGACCTCAACGTCGTTCAAGACGAGGACGAGGACGTGGTGGCTCTCAGGGAGGAGAACAGCGACCTCAGCCTTCGGTGCAAGATTCTTTAATGCCTTATGATCCTGCTCAACTATCTTTCTCATACTCGGCACCCCGTCCAATGCCTACAAACTTTCCGACGGGCCAATGGCAACAGTGGCCTGCTTGGAATCAGCCTGCGCCAGTTATGCCTCATCTAAATCCTCATTTCTTTCCACAATTCGGAATGCCAATGGGCTATCCACCGACCCAGAATAATTTTTCCGAGTACAACAATCAGAATGGCCCATTCGCCAGAGATCAATCTGACCCAGGACCTGGACGCCCTCCGACATAAAATCCCTT